GTTTGTACAAACATCTGATTCTAAGTCGAAGCAATAAAAGGTGTTCAGAAATAAAGCCCTAGGGCACCTTGGACCAGTTCTGCATCGCTCCTCACAACACTGTCAGCTAAAGAGGCCAAAAAAAGTCGGTGGCTCCTTCAATGATGATCTTAATCGTCAAGGTTTAGAGCTTTTGTAGTCAGTGCAAGCTAAGGTTAGTGGCTCAGTAAGTTTTTTGTATAGAAACATAACATAGTGGGAGCACAACTGTCTATTTGATGGTGCATAATCACAGAAATATCTTTAATCATATCTTCTTCCACCATATGATGCCATAAAAAACTACACTTCTACAAAACTGCACTTGTACCATCTATGCAGCAACTGTCCTCACACTCGCCTTCCAGATGTGGCTCACAAAGTGCTTAGAGGTCATCACAGTGTCTGAATCATATGCTCCAGGGCCAGACTGTAAAGGTACCGGCTATTTGTCTGAAATAGCCTTGATGTAATGGCCGTCTCAAGAGAAACGAGAAACCACCATTAGGCTGCCAATGAGGGGACATGTAATGGGACAACCATTACCGCTTCAAGGGTGCTACCCAGGACTGAGAGTGAGAAATAAGCTGTTAGTTGTGAAGGTGTGGGAGAGAAAGAGTGACAAAGAGAGGCAATAGGAGCTGAATATGCAAATATATACAAACATGTTTATGTATACAGTATATTCTATTCTTTTAGTTGAGCTCCAGTGCAGTAGGAAATTTGACTTCTCTTGTTAAATTCATGACAATTAAGATCAGCAAATTAAATTGAAAGAGACAGAGAAAAAGAAAAGCAGATGAACTGTCTACAGAAAACTAACAGATTAGTATCCCTTGAGACAGGGAGCAGTGCTGCATTTGTCCGAATACTTATGTGTTAGTGTGACAGACAGTCGTCCCCCGCCAGTGTCCCCTCCACTGTCCCCTCCACTGTCACTGAGTGACATTGTAAGGGTCGGGCGCTATTGTGCAGAGCTGGGAGAGGAGAACAGGAGAGGAGGCAAAATAGATAATGTTTAATGAGAGGGAAGAGAAAAACAGGCGGGCTCCCCAGGCAGCCGAGCAGAGAGCGCTGAGCAATCAGTCACACACGCAAACACCACACATTGTTGTTTATATAAACAAGTCGCAACTTTACCGTTCAATTGTGGCTTCCACTTGAGTAATGAGTGCTTTCAAATGTCAAGTGGGTGACAGCATCACTCAGCGACCAAATCGTGTTAGGTTAAACCTGGTATCTCCATAAAGCCAGTACTTAATACCTAGGACCAGCTAGATGAAGTTTTTGAAATAACATGAGGTCACAGAAATAAAAGTAAAATAGTAAAATCGTGTAGTAATGAAGGTTTCTTTCATACCTGTAATGTAGTTCACTGGGTCAACACCAAAGACATTCTTGTCTGTTTTATGTTAGTGACTGTCATCCTTCATTATCAGTGCTACTGGCACCCAGGGGTGAAAATCAAAAGCATGTTTACCCCATAACATGACAGCAAATCATGCTGCACTTCAGGTGTCTCTGCTTTTATCTTCTGGTGGTCACAAAGAGTTCACGAAAAGATTATTAATTGTGATTATCATTAATTTCTTTTAATCCTTTTATTTATTCAGGGACATTTCACTGAAAGTAATGCTCTCCTTTGGAAGAATGCCTTGACGACACTCATCACAACTGGAGGTTATCCAGGTCAACCACAGTCTAGTCTGATGGCCACTGAGGAGCTCCGCACGACCATCTGGGATGTAGTGACCCTTGAGCCTTCAGTGGTGGTAACAGGGGACGAGCTGAGGTCTTTCACTTTACCCACCCGAGTTTATCCTGCCAGACCAAACTGGCAACCTTCCTTTCACAAGCCCGGATCTCTAACCTTATATGCCCTAACTAATGACAGGGAATATAAACAGGACAAAAAGGTACTACTATAGTAGGAGAGCTGCTATGTGATCGCCCTGTTTCACTTATATTTAATGAGCCAAAATACATGGAGGACATAAGCTCAACACACCACTGTTATAACCATTTTTCTCGTGATGCATCAGGGAAAAATTCCCCCACATTTTGACCTGCAGGTATGTTACCATCGCCACCAAATGATTTTTAGCAATTATGATAATCATATAGATTTTTACATAATTTCCATTACAGTTCCCACGGTCAGCATCTACTGGTACTTAGGCTTTTGAGTTCATGCTAAAATCACACAGTATGGTTGGCCCAATTCATTTTCACACTTCAAACCAAACGCACAACAGTTAATTTGGAACAGATTGAGACCCACCTTGTCAAGCTGCCTCAGCCTGGTTGTTTGCTCTATGCCAGAATCCAAATGACAGCAATTACACCAGTCTAAATGAATTGTGCCAAATGGCAAACCAACCAGTCTGTTTGAACTGCACCAAACACTTTCCATTTCTATCACATCCTTCTTTTCCTTTGTTTTTCTACAACTAATCCATACTTGTTGTTCCACCCTGTTTTATTGTATCTTTCCATCACTGCCATGTCCCCACCTCAATTTCCCTGGAGTAGCGACATGTGTGTGAATGTGTGCTAACACACGTGCACACAGGCAAAGTGTCAATAGTGACCAAGCCACGTAATTACACCTACAGTAGTGCAAACGTGCCTCTGTGTGTGTGCGTGTCTCTATCTCTCTAACTCTCTCAGCTTTTCCACAACATGCATCTGTTTGATTTGGGCGACCTTGAAAAGGTGAGCGGTCCTTGATGAAACAGATCCATACACTCACCATCACACCTCAGTAATAGGACTCACGGGAATCTGACTGTGAACAACAAGTAACTGTTTCACATGGGATAGCATGAGAGGAGGGAAGTAACTACATGCTGCCATCATTTCTGGAAAACAGTTTGTTCCGGCTTAAGTGAACAAATGGGAGAATCATTAAATGCACATGACGAGGGTCAAAAGTTCTGAAACACGGCAGATATGCAGGAACAGAAGTGCTGAATGTGCTGTTTTCCTGCCAGCAGGGTCATTCGTTCAATTAGGCCGCCGCGATCAATAGTGAGGTTAGAAAACATTCATGCTAAAATTAAAGCATTTTCTGGTTCTCAATTAGTCTTGTGAAATACTTTCTAACATCTGTGTTTGTTTTTTTTGGTGACTGATATAACAGTATCATATTACTATGCAGGAACTTTGCCACAGATCTGAGGTAAGCAAACTGATGTTCTTAATTTATTCATCAGTCATCTGAGAAACCTAATGCAGTGTTATTGCGTGTTTAATCTTTGCCATGATATTCACTCTGAGCTGAATGGGCGCTTAAAGGAAGTGCAAGCCCAGATGTAGGCCTACACCCCGAGGACACTTTATGTGAAATGGGGCATACTACTAAGAAAGAACATCTTGCCATTCAAACAGTACATCAGCATCTTACAGCACACTATTGCTTTATTTGAATACTCAGATATATATGTTTATCTATCCCTTGTGCTTATGGATACATGTGCAATATGAGGTAAAATATTCACAGACTGAATTTTCCTCTGCAAATGTTTCAGTGAAAAAGCTACTGTGACAGTACTGAGTGACAGCTAATCCAGAGAAAACATGGGGACTTGAGGAAGAATGATAGATATACAGTGACCTCTGCACAATGTGGAGAATATATACAGCAGATGACAGCTCTGTCACTTGTCTGCCGTGAGAAGGATCATCTCTCAAGGGAAAAACCTCTCAGCTCCTCTTCTCACTGTTACTCCACAAGTGTACACTGTTTCTATGCTGTTCCCATACTTTGGGGAGTCAACAAAAAACAAATACAGTATAGAGAAGTAGGACAGAACAACGTTGCCAAATACAAACATAGGAAGGATTAACAAGCTGTGCAGGAATGCTTGAAAGAGAATAAGTGAGCAATGTGTCTGTACGATAAATTCTAGTCCCAACAAGTAGCTCTGATAATGAGTCAGTCTATGCAATATGCTGCAGCGGCAGATGTTCCTCAGCCTGTCTCATCTGTGTAAAACATGTTGTGAAACAATGGTAGTTGTGTCCTATAGAGAAAAAATGTAATATTTAGTTTCGTCTCTGGGCTTTTGTAGAGATGAGTGACGAGCAGAGCATGTAACTATGTAAGTACAAATACACACACACACGCACACACACACACACACACACACACACACACACACACACACACACACACACACACACACACACACACACACACACACACTATAAGAATGGTTTTTGCACTGATGACAGACAAGACACATAATGAGGAAATAATGATCATAATTAGTATGAGGTTCTGTGCCATTAGGGGCGTAATTGATCTCACAGTCTTCTACCTGAGAGGCTAATCAGTATACACACTGACCTTTTCATACCGTGCTATAATCAACAGGAAAAAGCTTCATAATGCAAGCTAAGCTTGTTTGTCCCGCTCCTTCACCCTCTACTCCCTCTGTCCACTGAAGGTGACCTTGAATTTAACATAGATAAAATCTGAACCTCAGGAATTACCTTAAAATGTAGCATGAACTCATTCTATCGATAACAGTTCTTGGAGGATATCTGTTGATTCTTTTAACAGACTTTAGAGGGAAGATAAGTTGTACTATAACAGTATTATCATCACCTTCATCACCTTTTTTCTGCCATTTGTGCAGTTTGAACTTCAGTGTTCACTGTTCATCGATGGAAATGCATTTACCCTTCAAACACAGGTAAGTTAGAAAACTGTTTAAAACTCAGCCTCAAGGTTTGTCCAATCTTTGACTTACTGTTTCTTATGTAGCTTTTAATCATTATAAATGACCTTATTAGAACATTTTGTTCACCAGAATTTAAATTCCTTTCACACCCTGGACATTGGGGTTAATTAGAATACATTGCATGAGGTTAGAGAACTGTGGGCTTGAGAAGTCCTAGGAACTTTTATGCCAGTGTGAGTACAGTGAGGTATGAGCTTTCTGTAAAGCTCTGTTTGACCTCAGAGCGTGTAGTACCTCATGCCTTTGGTGGAGTGGTTGTGGAAGTTTTGCAGTAGCTGTGGGAGGCCCAGCATGGCCTCAAACATCACGGCCAAGGAGCCCAGCATCTCTACAAACACAGCAGAGTCCAGCAGCAGCAGGGTGACCACTGCACACAGCACGGTGAAGCCGAAACAGAAGAGCAGGTAGTCCTCGAACGCACTCCACTTCCAGAAGTAGCGAAAGTCCAAGTCTGGAGAGGAGCAAATGAAGAGAAAAAAAAATTTTAATTAAAAATTTAATATTTAACCCAGTACAAATGTACTCAGCAAATGTACACTGAACAGACAAAGTGTTCGAGGAAAGTAAGAGTCGGGAACTGTGTATATGTGTCTGTGTTTGTGGTGCTGAAAAGTGAGGAGCTTCTTACAGTATGTGCAGCTGGAAACAGAAGCGCAATAATGACAGACAGAGATTGAAAATGTCGAAGGCATTATATAGCGGAACAAGAAGGCAGGAGGAAAGAGGAGGAATGAGTGTTTCATTAAAGGATGCATAGAAATTCTGCAAAGACAGCACTCCTCAATCAATACTGTGCAAATGCATAGGTGAATGGAACAAAGATAAATGAGGCACTCAGAGGCTTTTACATTTCTATTACTTTGGAATAACCTGGCCTTTGGCGTTACCAGGTTATACATTTAGAAAGTTTATTACCTTTGGTTTAAAGCAACCCTATTTGTCATGTGCTGCTTTTACAATTCACTGATAAATACAAAGACCATTGCTGTCTAAAGCTGATGTTGCTTCTCTAAAACATCTATTCAACTTGAATGGAAGAGATGATTGTGAATTAGAACCAAACAAACATTTAAATAGTCACAGTGTTCCCAGCAAGGAGGCTGTTTCAGGAGCTGCAAAAGAAAGTTTGTGAGAGGAAACATTAGGCATACTACATCAACATTCCCGTCACCATCAGCCATCTCCTCAATGGACCATAATGTGAAATGATCAATGATCTCTCATTGCTTATGTATGATCATGGCGCTGTGGAAACCAGCTGACATCAGCTAAATGGGATTGATGGCTAAATAAGAGCACATTAGAAAAAGGCAGCAAATCTACATACTGAAAAGCTGGAACAAGAGAATGTTTGGCATTTTTGGTGGAAAATGATTTAATCATTTTCTTTGTGTCGGCTTATCCTTTCAGCAAAAATTAGTTTTAGGTCAGAACTTGGATTTGGGATAAATATGATAATTTAAAGAGGTGATTAGGAGGTGTACTGTACATCAGTGCTCAAACAAATAAACAATTAATAGATAACTGAGAATTAATCAATGACAATTTTGACAATGAATTAACAAGTATTGCTGTTTATAGCCTCTTAAATGTTTGGATATGCTTGCTTTTCTAAGTGTTTTAGTGCTGTCAAAAAGGCTGTCATCGGCTTTAATGTGACATTTTATAAACTAACTGATTCATCAATTAAAAAATGAGTAGTTTAAATCATCATAAAAACATCAGGGATTAAGAGTGCGGTCTATTTTGGCAGATGGAGTCTGCTCAGTTGTCTGGAGACTGTGGGATCAACTGAACATTTCGGATAAGGTTAATAAGTGGTTGATTCACAGTTTGTTTGTGAATCTACTGCTTTTATGGTCAATGATTTTCTTAAATGCTATGGTAATACACAAGGGATTCTGTGTCACTTTTTTGTACTTGCAAGAGAGGTAAAAACTCAGAATTATTTCCATTTTTGAGTAGACTGAAACTGCGATGGTTCAGCCAATGAGTAACAAGGTTTATGGAAAAACGGGTATGTATTCCTATGTACTTTTTCTGGTCAGTACCACTCATTCTCTTTTAGTGAGAGAGGGGAGTTCACTGACTAAACAGGGCTATTACATTATCCATTACTATCATCTCACATAATGTACATATATGGTCACACAACATATTCCGTAAAGCACACATACACAAATCCCCATACACCCCCATCACAAGGCTGGGATGTCTCCCATTCCACTCCAGTGAGCTGCATCTGCTGCTGCATCCTGGGACAAACAGAGTGAGACATCTTGCAGCGAGTGCAGCATGGCATGTTTGTGGCAAACAGTGAACGTGATTAATAGCTTTATTACCGAGAGCCACAAAAGATACATCGCCCACAGCTGACGACAGACGTGCAAGGTGGGAGAGGACAGAGACGTGACACGACACACAGATACATACACACACACACACACACACACACATACACACACACACACATAATGCTTCTCAGCCTACTCACACACATATGACATGACAAATATCGATTCTGGGAATGACTTATGTCTGTCCTCACAAACTATGTCACTGATAGAAGCCAAAAAGCTGGAGACAGACAGTCTGGCACTCTTTACCTCTTATTCACAAGTCTCTCTTCACTCATGATGCCCTGTTACTTCAGCACGACACCGTCAAATCTAAAGTCATTGCAACCACCAGCGGCTGGCAGAGGGAGACAGGAGAGGCTTAGAGGCCGCCTGTTATCAGCAACATAAAAAGCCTTTCTTTTGAATGAGGCCAACGTGGTGAAGTATAAACATGCTGACAGCAGCAACAATGAGTAGTGGTATTTCAAAACTACTGTCAACTTTTCAGTGTATAAAACCTCCCACTGAGCCTCTAACATTTTCATCTTTGATTTTTAATTCAGTTTCCCCTCCGTCCCTCCTGCTTATCTGCAGCACACAGACACACACACACACACACACACACACACACACACACACACACACACACACACACACACACACACACACACCAAAAACACTTTTCTCTTGTCCTCTTACCAAGCAATCCAATCTATTTTCATGCATAAAGCAACACACCCACCTCCCTTTCTCTCATCCCCATTCCTCCTCTCTCTCTATGCCATTTCATCTCTCAGTTATACAGCCTCGTATGTTTACCTGCATAATCAAATTGCCTGGAAGAGTATAATGAAGAGAGAAAGCTATGCATCATTCATGAAGTCATCTCTTGTATTTGTCCTGCTCTAATACCTTGCATCATCCTCGACTTGCTCTCCCTGATCATCTCACTTATTTCCCCTCACTCTTTCAATCTTTTTTTCGCCCACCTTGCTGACTAAAGGTGTCCTCTCATATGAACTCAGGACAACGTCTACAGAATCAGGTCTGGACATTATCTGGAGCAGTGCTTTCACACATGTAGCACACAACAGTCCCTGTCAGATGTGGTCTCAGCTACTGGAAATACTCCGTTTGGTTAGATCAGGAGGCAGGATAGAAATGTCATTAATGCACCCAACTCGTTCAATGTGAATTCTCCAGACAATGACCTGCTCTGTTCACACAGAGACCCAATAGGACATTACACAGGCTTCGTACTAGGAAGCTGGCAGGGAAAAGTCAATTAAATGTCCAGTCCAAATGATTTGGACAGTTGTGTTCACGCATACAGCTCCTCCGGGTAATGTCTACATAAGTTCAGAGTTACAGTGCATGTGTGACAGCACTATAAAAAAAAAAAAAAAACATGTCGCCACTTCACACTCACACACACACATCCACAGAATCACATACACACACCTCCTTTGTGGCTGCTGTTCTGTCACCACAGGACATCACAGGTGGCCTGGCCTTTTCCAAACAGCATCCTCCTGTCTGCTGAGTGTCGAGGCCAGGGCCCCACTTCAAAGACCGCAGAGACTCGGGAGTGCCAGGAGGAGGCGAGGCACTCTTTCTTCACACAGACTCTTTGTTTACACAAAGCCCATTGAAGATCAAACAATTCAATTACTAAAACTGAAGAGGGAGCAGCCCCGAGGATGTCAATACCTGTATATGAAGTTACTCTAGGATGACGTGCAGTTGCTCAGGGAGGATAAGTCAATCAATTTGTGTATGTGCATGTCTGTAGTTGTGAAAGCCTCAGCGGCCCTATCTAGGGTATAGCATTGTCAAGACTTAGTTTCAGCACTGTTAGACCTTAACAGCGGTCTCACACAAGCTGCACAGAGGAGGGAGAGGATGATTACAGATGGAAGGAGGGATGGAGAGTGAGTCAGAAACAGAGGGAGAGTAGCCTTGAGTCAGTCAAGTAGATATATGGAGGCTAAACTCACTGCACTTCCCATCAGGCTGAGCAGAGAGAGTACAGAGGTGAGAGTAGAGACCCCGAGACAGAGACAAGGATAGACACTGACAGCTAGAGAGCTTTGAGATATGCTGACTCATCACTATCCGTCTGTGAGCAGAACGACTACACTCTGCGGAGCCTGCTTGGTGTATTTTAAGATGTGTGAAAGTTGCTGTTTGACATTTTTTTGGCTCACTGGTCTCATCTGAGGATAGGTGCGGCATTTTGAAGGACATGCACAACGTAATGGACTTTTCAGTTTATTGAAATGGATAAAAATCCCATTTTTTTCAGTTTGTCCACAGATGGCTGACAACACAAGTGACTGACATCCTTACCTTATCCTGACCAGACCCAAAAATTAGCCAAAGGCCATCTTACAGCATCTGTGAGCTGAACCTGTAGACTGCCTCTGCTTTTTCAGTACACAAGCACAACATGCAGCAGTGGCACACCAGAAAAATCTTCTAATATCTTCCTGACAAGCTTTAATAGGGACATGACAGGCACGCTGCGATCATCTGGACAGACAAAAAGTCGCTGAACCATTCTGAACTCTCACTGTCCTACAGATTGAACAGATTGTTTCTGCAGCAGAGACATAACTTGGTTCACTGGCCAAACAGGTCGAAGTGAAGACAGACAGGAAAGGATCCAAGCTCCCTGTGTGTCTCCCTTTTTCTCTGTCAGCTCTTACAAGAGCTTCTAAAATAATGTCCACTCTATAAGTTACACTGGGAATGTAACACACACACACACACACACACACACACACACACACACACACACAAAAGAGCAAATTGCCTCCCCAGTGGATTTACTGTCTTGAACTGGTACCCGCCATGAGTGAGTGAGTGAGTGAGTGAGTGAGTGAGTGAGCGAGTGAGTGAGCGAGCGAGTGAATGGGTTACACCACAGGTCGGCCGAGTGTTGGACTTCTCCCACTGGCTGTCGCTCTTTCAAAATGATTTTTTTGCTATAACATCAACACTGGATCCACAACAGTTTTTATGATCAGACTCCTTTATTGACTTTTATCAAAAAAAAGTACCCTCTGCATCCACGCTGTTCAGTGAGCAGCAGTTTGTTACCCAGGTGGAG